ATCTTATCTTATCAGCCAGATAATTTAAAAAAAAAAAAAGATTAATTAATCTACCTCAAGATCACCAATACTTGCATGATTATTCTCGACCTTTTCAAGATTAATTTCATTTTTATTTGATAACTTTTTCTAGAAATTACTAATATAATGATCATAACAATGATCTTATCTTATCAGCCAGATAATTTAAAAAAAAAAAAAGAGATTAATTAATCTACCTCAAGATCACCAATACTTGCATGATGATCAGCAATTTTGCCATAGTATCGTTTTGCCAGTTCGCTATCTTCAATTACATCAACAATTTGTGCAGCTCTACTCCATTGTTTTGCTTTAATTGATGCTTCAAGAGCTTTTGCTGTTTTACCACTTTCTGCAAATGGCATAAATTTAAATTTTAAAATTAAAACTAAAACTCAAAACTAGAACATAGATAGATAGATTAATCTAATAATAATACAAACCAAGAAAATGATTTATTGCTGCATCATAATTTCCTTCTGCAATCAAATAATCACCCCAATCCTCTTCCAATGAAATAACTTTTTCCGGAAAATGTATTCGTGCTAGCTAAAATATTTAACTGATTTGTGAAAAGAGAAATTTTTTTTGCATAAATAATAATTGAAAAAAAAAAAAAAAATTTTTTTTTTTTCATTAACATTAAATGATTATAATTATTAACCTGAATAGCTTTTGCATAACTTTTTCCTTTTTGATAATTTTCCAATGATTGTTCAAAATTTTTTATTGCTTCAAATAATTCACCAGCCTAAAAAATTTTATAATTTCTAATTTTTTTTTTTTTTTTTTTTTTAAAAATTTCAAATAATATATAAATATATACAAATATATTAGATTAAATTATTCTAATAAAAAAAAAAAAGAGACAAAAGAATTGAATAGCAAACTTTTTCAAATTGATCAGAGCCTAAAAAATTTTATAATTTCTAATTTTCCCTTTTTTTTTTTTTTTTTAAAATTTCAAATAATATATAAACATATACAAATATATTAGATTAAATTATTCTAATAAAAAAAGAGACAAAAGAATTGAATAGCAAACTTTTTCAAATTGATCAGAGCCTAAAAAATTTTATAATTTCTAATTTTCTTTTTTTTTTTTTTTAAAAATTTCAAATAATATATAAATATATACAAATATATTAGATTAAATTATTATAATAAAAAAAGAAAGAGACAAAAGAATTGAATAGCAAACTTTTCAAATTGATCAGAGCCTAAAAATTTTATAATTTCTAATTTTCCTTTTTTTTTTTTTAAAAATTTCAAATAATATATAAATATATACAAATATATTAGATTAAATTATTATAATAAAAAAAAAAACAAAAAGAATTGAATAGCAAACTTTTTCAAATTGATCAGAGCCTAAAAAATTTTATAATTTCTAATTTTCCTTTTTTTTTTTTTTTAAAAAATTTAAAATAATATATAAACATATACAAATATATTAGATTAAATTATTATAATAAAAAAAAGAAAGAGACAAAAGAATTGAATAGCAAACTTTTTCAAATTGATCAGATTGTATCAATGCTGTAATAACATTTTGTACTAAATCATCTTTAAATAAAAGTTTTGAATTTTGCAAAAGGATACGAGCAGCTTGAATGACCAAACCAGCTTTCAAATATAATTCAATTGCAACAAGCAAATCACCATCACGTTCTGATACCTGAAATTAGCTACTTTTTAATTTAATTTAAATTTAATTTTTTTTAAAAAAAAAAAGCCATTATTGAAGGATTACAATGATTACACTTTTAGATTTAAAATGAATAATAAAAGTTCAATAATTCTAGAAAATTTTTTAAAAGATTATTTATTATTATATTTATATGCGCCAAATTTTTAATTGTAAAAATGATCCGAAAAAATGAGCTAAAAATTTAACTAAGATGACTTTTCGAGATGAAAATAAATTATATAGGTTGTAATAACATTACCAAAAAAAAAAATGATATGTAGATGATAATTATGATAATATTTGTGATAAATTATGATAATATATAGATGATAAATATGATAATAATTATGATAAACTATAATAATATGTAGATGATGATTATGACGATAATTATGATAATATAAGGGTGATAATTATGATAATAATTATGGCAAACTATAATAATATGTAGATGATGGTTATGATAAGTTATGATAATATGTAGATGATAATTATGATAAACTATGATAATATGTAAATAATGATTAAGGAAACAATTATGACAATATAAGATAATTATGATAATAACTATGGTAGAGTGTGATAATATGTAAATGATAATTGTGACGATAATTATGATAATATAAGGATGATAATTATGATAATAATTATGGTAAACTATGATAATATGGAAATGATGATTATGATAAATTATGATAAACATTAATGTAAATGATATAATATTTCATAAAGAATAGAATTAAAATTAATTTTTTTTTTTATTTTTTGAATATTAGAAAAAAAAAAAAAAAAACAAACTTGTGCAGCTTTTCCATCCTGACCTGTATCAAATAAATAACGATAGTATCGTGCTTTAACAGTTTCCAAGTCTGGATGATTCTTGAAAAAAATTAAAAAATAAATAATTAATGAATTTTTGAAATAGGTATAAATCTCGTAGAACATTTAATGATAAAAAAACATACTTGTGATTGAGCTAACTCAAATGCTTCATCCCATTTGCCAATTTGCTGATAAATTTCAATAATTTCATCTAATGCATTCTAAAAATTAAATTGAACAAATTTAATTAATAAAATAAAATTTTTAATTTACTTTAAAAGACTGTTAAATTTGTTTTCAATCAAAATTTGAATATAATAATTAATAATAATAATAATCAATTATTGATTATAATTATTATGAAAAGATTCATAAAGTAGCTTAATTCTTTTTTCTTTTTGACAATAGGTATATTTGTTTCACCTGTTCGAGATAAATTCTTTCAGCTTCTCGAAAATCTTTATTCATAAGAGCTAGACGTGCTTGAACCTGAAAGGAAAAAAAATTTTGATTACTGCTAATGATTAATAACAAAAACTAATACATATATGGAATCAGCCACTTATCAGTAACATGTGCTCTGATAAGGATCAACCACTCATCACTAATATGTGCTATGATAAGGATCAACCACTTATCAGTGATATGTGCTATGATAAGGATCAGCCACTTATCAGTAACATGTGCTCTGATAAGGATCAACCACTCATCACTAATATGTGCTATGATAAGGATCAACCACTTATCACTAATATGTGCTATGATAAGGATCAACCACTTATCAGTGATATGTGCTATGATGAGGATCAGCCACTTATCAGTAACATGTGCTCTGATAAGGATCAACCACTCATCACTAATATGTGCTATGATAAGGATCAACCACTTATCACTAATATGTGCTATGATAAGGATCAACCACTTATCAGTAATATGTGCTATGATAAGGATCAACCACTTATCACTAATATGTGCTATGATAAGGATCAACCACTTATCAGTGATATGTGCTATGATAAGGATCAACCACTTATCACTAATATGTGCTATGATAAGGATCAACCACTTATCAGTAATATGTGCTATGATAAGGATCAACCACTCATCACTAATATGTGCTATGATAAGGATCAACCACTTATCAGTGATATGTGCTATGATAAGGATCAACCACTCATCACTAATATGTGCTATGATAAGGATCAACCACTCATCACTAATATGTGCTATGATAAGGATCAATCACTTATCAGTGATATGTGCTATGATAAATTTAAATAAAGAAAAAAATAATACTTTATAATTATTTTTTCCATCATCACCGGTATTTCTCGTTATTTCATCAGCAATTCGAATCATTTCCACAAGCATTTGCACTCGAGAAATATCACCCAATGCTGCGAAACATCGTTGTGCAATCAATAATTGTTGTTGTGATAATGCAACCTATAAGAAATTATATTTTATCAAAAATCATTTCCAAAACTTTTTTTAAAAAAAAAAAAAATCTTAAAATAGTTATATATTGGATTGATACAAATATGAAAAATATCATTTATTAAATATTATAATTTATGGTATAATTATATTTAATTTATGATAACTTTCTCAAAATATTATCATTAAATTATATAATTTTTATCAAAATTTACTTTTATCATTAAATTATATTATAATTTCTATGGTAATTTTCTTAAAATATTATCATTAAATATATATTCGAATTTTTTCTCATAATTTACTTTTATCATTAAATTATATTATAATTTGTTTGGTAATTTTCTTAAAATATTATCAGTAAATTATATATTCGAATTTTTTCTCATAATTTACTTTTATCATTAAATTATATTATAATTTCTATGGTAATTTTCTTAAAATATTATCCATAAATTATAATTTGTGTGGTAATTTTCTTAAAATATTATCCATAAATTATATATTCGAATTTTTTCTCATATTTCACTTTTATCATTAAATTAAATTATAATTTATTGATAATTTACTTAATCAATGATAAGAAACCTGAGCAAGTTGACGCCATAGTACTGTTGCATCATATTCTTCTTCTTCTCGTTTCTCTAAAAAATCAATTGCTCGAGCAAAATCAAATCGATCAATAGCGGAAGCAAATTCGATAAGTGTTTGATCAAGTTCATAAGCAACTTTTTCATTTGCTTCCTATAAAATTCATTTTTAAAAGAGAAAAAAAAAAGTTATTCAAATTTTTAAAAATTTTTTTGATATAATTAAAAAAAAAAGTTGAAAATATATAGTATTTGTATTTAATTTTGTATTTACTTTCATATTACTTTTATGCTTACTTTCGTATTTACTTTTGTATTTCAATATTTTTGTAATTCTTGAAGCAATCTAATTTTGATCTGCTTGAAATTAGCATAAATTTGAGTTAATTTACAAACAAACATTTTATCATTTAAATTTTAAATTTTCTTAAATTTTTTTAAAATAGAATTTTAGATTTTATTAAATTAACATTTGCAATATATTTCAAATTTATTAGTGAATTTTCGTTTAATTTATTATAATTTATTTAGTGCTAATTGTTAGTGCTTTCTTAGAAACAATTCTTCTTATTTCCATAAAATTAAAAAAAAAAAAATCAATTTTAAAACCATTCTTATTTTTTTTTTTCTGAAATGTTACTGTGGAGAAAAAAAAATTAGAAATAAACATAATTGTTTATTTCTAATTTTAATTTAAATATTTAAAAATTGCCAAACACATATGTTTTCTCTATATGATAATTTAAAAAAGGAAAAATTTTTATAAAAAATTTTCTCATCTTTAAAAACTTTACTTTCTACTCTTCTTCTCCCACATAAAATTTTAATAAAAAAAAAAACTTTATTTTCTAGTAATTTTTAAAAATTTTACTTTCTACTCTTCTTCTCTCTCATTATTGTTTATTTTAATAAACAAAACAATAACAACAACAATAATAATAATAATAATTGTATTTAACCTCAACAATAACTTCAGTTCTAGATTCATCACGAAGAACAGTTTCAATTTCACCTTTTATAGGTATCATTACCATCTGTAAAATATAATCAAATTTTATTTCATTTTTTTAAATTTACTTACTTCTTATCTAATCAAATTAAAATAAAAGTTATACGAGAAGAGAAGAAAGTTAAATATAAACAAATAAACAAAAAAAAAAAAGAAGAAAACTTTTACTTCATTTATTTACTTCTTATCTAATCAAATTAAAATAAAAGTTATACGAGAAGTGAAGAAAATTAAATGTAAACAAATAAACAAATAAACAAAAAAAAAAAACGAAGAAAACTTTTACTTCATCAGGATTTTCTGCTTGATACCAAATGCAAAGTTGATCAATCGATTGAGCTACAATAACATCACTATTAGGAACCCATTGAACATAACTACAATAATCCAACAATGATATCTTTCGATCACTTTTGATATCAGCTAGCAATAATCGAGATCTCTTATCACGAAACAATAATTTTGTTGCCATTTCACTAAGCTAAAAAAGAATTAATAAATTTATTTTAATTTAATCATCTTTCATTTTAAGGAAGGAATAGTGATAGCATATGATTTTGATTATAATTGATTACAAAATCATATTTAAGTTATACTTAAATTTGATAAATAAATGTGATAACTAGTAGTGATAATCGATGAAATTGATCAACATGAAGATTTAGTAATTAAATTCAAATTATTTCATCAAACATTGATTGTGTTTTAATTCAATCATCTTTTGTTTCAAGGATGGAATGATGATAACTTATGATTTTGATTATAATTGATTACAAAACCATATTTAAATCATACTTAAATTTGATAAATAAATGTAATAATTAGTAATGATCAGTGATAATCAATGAAATTGATTAACATGAAGATTTAATAATTAAATTTAAATTATTTCACCGAACATTGATTGTGTTTTAATTCAATCATCTTTCATTTCAAAGAAGGAATGATGATAACTTATGATTTTAATTATAATTGATTACAAAATTATATTTAAGTCATACTTAAATTTGATAAATAAATGCAGCAATTAGTAATGATCAGTGATAATCGATGAAATTGATTAACATGAAGATTTAATAATTAAATTTAAATTATTTCAACAAATAATAAATATATTAAAATATCTATAAAATACATTAAAATATCAATTTTATTTTGATAACAACAAAATGAAATGAATAAAATAAACCTCAAGCCAATCGATGTATACTGGATGCGTAAATTGTGCAATCTGTCGTTGACTTATTAAATCAACTATAAAAACAAAACAAAAAAAATATTAAAATTAGAAGGTGAAAAAAAAAAACGAAAAGAAAAATAATTTTAATTGTTTTTAAATTTTCTCAAAATACATTTTATAACTCATATATATATAGAATAAATTTAAATTTATAACTCATATATATATAGAATAAATTTAAATAAATAAATGATACTTTCATTATTTTTTTTTATAATTAATTTTTTTTTATTTAATCAATATTTTTAAGAATTAAAAAAAAAAGAAAATGCTAAAAATTGAGTAATAATAATAATAATAATCCAAATGAATTTAAGTAAAAGAAAAGTTGAATTGATTTTGTTAACTCGAAAAAAATTATCAAAAATTCAAATTAAAATTATCAAAAATCAAAATTAAAATTATAGAATATCAAAAATTAAAATTATAACAAACGAAATAATATATTATAAAATTATTCCAATAATAAAAATAAAATTTAAATCACATACACACCCACTGAAATGGTATTCAAATCAAGCAGATAAGCAACACGCTTTATAATATTTATATTTTTAAGGTGTTGTTTTGTAATTCGTACTGAAATGAGATGTGTTGATATGAGCTCTGTTCGAATCCAACCAATTATCTCATTATTTCCATATTCTACCAAATTTACCTATTAATAAATAAATTTCAATTATTTCTATTGTTGACTAATAAATAAAACAAAATTAAATATTTTAAATTCAAAAAAAAAAGTATAATTATTGATGCATTTGAATTTCAAACAATAATTAAATCATTACTATTAAAATCATTGTAAAAAATCACCATTTGTTGATCATTATTTATGATATATATATTTAATTCTTAATTTTAAATTCAAAAAAAGGTATAATTATTGATACATTTGAATTTCAAACAATAATTAAATCATTACTATTAAAATCATTGTAAAAAATCACCATTTGTTGATCATTATTTATGATATATATATTTAATTCTTAATTTTAAATTCAAAAAAAGGTATAATTATTGTTGCATTTGAGTTTCAAACAATAATTAAATCATTACTATTAAAATCATTGTAAAAAATCACTATTTGTTGATTATTATTTATGATATATATATTTAATTCTTAATTTTAAATTCAAAAAAAGGTATAATTATTGATACATTTGAATTTCAAACAATAATTAAATCATTACTATTAAAATCACTATTTATTGATTATCATTTATGATATATATATATTTAATTCTTAATTTTAAATTCAAAAAAAGGTATAATTATTGATGCATTTGAATTTCAAACAATAATTAAATCATTACTATTAAAATCATTGTAAAAAATCACTATTTGTTGATTATCATTTATGATATATATATTTAATTCTTAATAATTAGAAATTAGATTCATCAAATTTCCATTATTTCTATTGCTGAATACGCTGAATAATAAATAAAACAATATTAAATATTTTAAATTCAAAAAAAAAGGTATAATTATTCATACATTTGAATTTCAAACAATAATTAAATTAATATTGTTAAAATCGGTATAAATGTTAACTATCATTTATAATATATATTTAATTCTTAAAAACTATAAATTCGATTGATCAAATTTCAATTATTTCTATTGTTGACTAATAAATAAGACAAAATTAAATATTTTAAATTCAAAAAAAAAAAGTATAATTATTGATGCATTTGAATTTCAAACAATAATTAAATTAATATTATTAAAATCAGTATAGATTTCAATTATCATTTATGATATATATTTAATTCTTAATAATTATAAATTAGATACAACAAATTTCAATTATTTCCATGTATACAGCTCATTGCATTGAAATAATTGCATGTTAAAATTAAAATTATCATATGCATACCTCACCAGCATTAATTATCATACAAACATTTTCGTTATCAAAATAGAATTTCTCATTACCAGCACTTTGCCATTCAATTTCACTGCAATAACCACTCCTCATATCAGCAATTATCAGTGTATTTGTTGTATAAGCAATCACATATCGATCATGTCCCATTATCTTAATTAAAATATTAGCAATTAAAATTAAACTTTGATAATTAATAAATAATTAGAGGATGAATACATGCTATTTAACACTTACAATTTTCAGCATAATCATAAAAAAAGGAGCAAATTTAACTCTAGCAATACTGATAATAATAATAATAATAATAATAGTAATGATAATAATTTAACTCTACTAATAATAATATAATACTAATACCAGTGCTAAATAAATAATAAGTAATAATGATAATAATAGTAATAATGATTAATGATAATATTCTTAAATTATTAGCTTAAAATATAATATAATAATACTACATATAATAATAATAATAATAATAATAATAATAATAATAATAATAATAATAATAATAATAATAATAATAATAATAATAATGATAATATAGTAATGATAATAACCTTAAATAAATAATATAATAATACTAGTATATATATATATATATTAATATAATAATACTAATATAGTAATGATAATAACCTTAAATTTATTTAACTCTACTACTAATAATATAATACCAATATTAACATTTAATGATAATAATGATAGTAATGATAATAACCTTAAATTATCAGTTTAAAAAGTAAAAAAAAGATACAAAATGAGAAAAAAATTACTTTAATTTCATTAATAGGTAATCCTTTAGAAGAATGAATTGTTACATGTTGTTCAGTAGATGTATCTTTAATAATAACTTGTGAGGGAGAAACATATTTTGTTTCAAAATGTCCTTTCAATATGAAATGTTTTAAACAACAATCTAAGATTATCACCGCACCACATAATGTACCCTGAAATTATAGCTAAATTAATTTTTTTTTTTTTTAAAAAAAATATGCTAACAAATAATTTAAATTTAAAAGATGTCCTTTCAATATGAAATGTTTTAAACAACAATCTAAGATTATCACTGCACCACATAATGTACCCTGAAATTATAGCTAAATTAATTTTTTTTTTTTTTTTTTAAAAATATGCTAACAAATAATTTAAATTTAAAAGATAAATTATTGTTAAATATTTTCAAATACTGCATACTTTGCAAGAAAAGCAACAATATTTGTGTATTGTTTGCTTCATAATATTAGCTACAGTAATCCTATCAAAAAAGTGCGCAAATGGTTTATTGCAAGTTGTCACAGGTGTTAAATCTCTACGATGACTTTTAGACGTAACGTTACGTTAGAGTAACGTTACGTAACATTACTTAACTAAACCATAAAGCAATCATGGTTTTTTCGCAACGAAGTAAGTAATATATATAAGTAAAATTACTAAATTAGTAATAATAGTATCGTTGCTTATTTGATTTTTTTTTTTTTTTTTTTTTTTGAATTTTTTATTAAAATGTTAAAATTTTTATGAAATAAACAAACCACTGCAATAGTTGAACCATCTGGACTCCATGCTAATGCGCTAATTGTATATAAGTAACGAATCTCTAATGGTTTACCTTCATCTAAAGCACCTCGTCGAGAATTCCATGAATAAAGTCGTACTCTATAAAAAGTAGCACTTCTTTTTTTTTTTTTTTTAAAGTTATATTAATCTAACTTTGTTAAATCAACTTATTTATTTAGAAATATCATATACATAATTGCTAATGTTTATGTTAAATTTTAAAAAGGAAAAAAAAATTGAAATACAAATGATGCAATAATTTTTAATATTTCTAATAAAATTAATTAAAATATTAATGTAATCATTTGAAAAGGAAAAATATTTGAATTTAAAATAATGAATTTAAAAAAAAAACATTTATAGAAAATATGCTAAAATTTTAATAAAAAAAAAAAAAGAAAACATTTATAGAAAATATGCTAAAATTTTAATAAAAAAAAAAAGAAAAAGAAAAAGACCTATCAAAACTTCCAAAAATGACACTTTGTCCAAATGTGTCACGAACAGCTACAGTAAACTCTTTCTCATGATCTATCTCATTACAGTAATCAAATTGCTGTAATAATTGGCCATTTTCGGTATACGATACTATCCGTTGATCACATCCACCAATTATAATAGCATTATTTGTATATACTAATGCATACGGTGGACAATTATGTGTTAAAATTTTTGTTTGCATTCGTCGATCCATTGAATATAAAATGATTGAACCATCAGTGTGACCAGAAATAAATGAACGATGATCAGGTCTTAAATGTAAACAATTTCAATTAATTATTTATTTTTTTTTTTTTTTATTAGATTATATAATAATTTAAGAAATTGTTAAAATGAAAATGAAAAATGAATATTTAAATTTATATAATAAATATATAATAATTTAAGAAATTGTTAAAATGAATTAAGTATATGTAATAATTTGAGAAATTGTTAAAATAAATTAAGAAATTATTAAAATGAAAATGAAAAATGAATATTTAAATTTATATAATAAATATGTAATAAATTAAGAAATTGTTAAAATGAAAATGAAAAATGAATATTTAAATTTATATAATAAATATGTAATGATTTAAGAAATTGTTAAAATGAATTAAGTATATGTAATAATTTGAGAAATTGTTAAAATGAAAATGAATATTAAATTTATATAATAATTTAAATTTATATAATGTAATAATAAATTTATATAATAAATATATAATAATTTAGGAAATTGTTAAAATGAAAATGAATAATAAATTTATATAATAAATACATAACAATTTAAGAAATTGTTAAAATGAAATGAAAAATGAATATTTAACTTTATGTAATAAATATATAATAATTTAAGAAATTGTTAAAATGAAAATGAATACTAAATTTATATAACAATTTAAATTTATATAATATAATAATAAATTCATATAATAAATATATGATAATTTAAATTTATATAATATAATAACAAATTCATATAATAAATATATAATAATTTAAGAAATTGTTAAAATGAAAATGAATATTAAATTTATATAATAAAAACGTAATAAATTAAGAAATTGTTAAAATGAAAATGAATAATAAATTTTTATAATAAATACATAACAATTTAAGAAATTGTTAAAATGAAATAAAAATGAATGTTAAATTTATATAATATAATAATAAATTTATGTAATAAAGGATAAATTTTTTTTTTAAAAAAAAAGAAAAATGTTCATAAGAAATTTAATTAGAAAAGAATGAAAAAATATGCTAACTAATTCATTTATTTTATTTGTTTATTATTTTTTTTTATTTGTTATTATTATTTTTTTTTGATAGGATAAAAGTAATAAATTAAATTAGATGTGATAAAATTTTGGAAGTATGGAAATTCATTAGCCATTTAAAAAGTATTTCATTTTTTATTCTTTTCTAATTAAATTTATAATAAATTGCTTCTAATACATTTTTTCGTTTTTTCTTTTCTTATCAGACTAATATTTCAATCAATCATTTTTTTATTTAAGCTAAAATTTCAGTCAATTTTTTCACCAACAAATTAAAATTATCAATCAATCACTGTTCAATCAAAACTAAAATTTCAATTCGGTAAAGAATTTGCAAAATTAAACTTGCAAAAAAAAAAAAAAAAAGATTTATTAAATTATTTTATGATCAACTAAAAAATTATGCTATTTCTTATCATTTCCTTATCTTACTTACAAACAAGCTCATATCATAATAATTGAAACAATCAGTATAATTTTTCATATTTCAAAATTAAATTTGCATTTTTGTTAAAATTAAACAGTATTTTTTTTTCTTTCAAATTACAATAAAACAATATATTTTAAAACAGTATAAATAGTATTTTTCAAATTATTACATTTTATTAATTTGTTTAAAAAAAATACAATGATTAAATAATTTTGTTAAATTTTGATTTATGAGAGGGAAAAAATTTGGAATTTTATGATTTATAAAATAGTTTAGAAATTAAAAAGAAAAAAATAAATATAAATAAAATTCTTACGGAAGTGCAAGAGAAATAACTGATACATCAGTTTTGTATAATGTTGAACATTTATTATTACGACATGATGCAATTCTTACTTTACCATCAATTAGGCCAATTATTAAACGATCCTCACTTGGCCACAATAAGGCTATCACTGCTGATGATTGAATAAATTTATTACATATAACTTTTTTCTCATCCCTAAAATTAAGCTTAAATTATCATTGTGTTAACAATACTATCAATATTATCACTAAAATACATTATTAACATTTATCGACAGAAATTTTTGTTATCAATAATTTTATATTTAATAAAAATTTTCAATCAATCAACTAAAACTAATTTGAAATGATAAATAAAAAATATTAAATCCTAAAAAAAAAGAGAAAAAATGATACAAAATTGATATCTAAATTATCACTTCATCTTAAATTATCACTGTGCTAACAATACTATCAATATTATCACTAAAATACATCATTAACACTTATTGATAGAAATTTTTGCTATCAATAATTTTATATTTAATAAAAATTTTTAATCAATCAACTAAAACTAATTTGAAATGATAAATAAAAAATATTAAATCCTAAAAAAAGAAAGATATTAAACTGATATGTAAATTATCACTTCATCTCAAATTATCACTGTGTTAACAATACTATCAATATTATCACTAAAATACATTATTAACATTTATTGACAAAAATTTTTGTTATCAATAATTTTATATTTAATAAAAATTTTCAATCAATCAACTAAAACTAATTTGAAATGATAAATAAAAAATATTGAATCCTAAAAAAGAGAGAGAAAAAATGATACTAAACTGATATTTAAATTATCACTTCATCTCAAATTATCACTGTGTTAACAATACTATCAATATTATCACTAAAATACATTATTAACATTTATTGACAGAAATTTTTGTTATCAATAATTTTATATTTAATAAAAATTTTCAATCAATCAACTAAAACCAATTTGAAATGATAAATAAAAAATATTAAATCTAAAAAAAAGAGAAAAAATGATACTAAATTGATATCTAAATTATCACTTCATTTAATTGATCATATAAAATAAATTGATATAAAATAATTCATATCAAATTATTATCAATGAATTATTGAAATAATTTTTTTTTTTTTTACAAAAGTAAACATGAATTATATACCACGTTTCACCAATTCGATAAACATAAACAATGTTATCAGTTTGACCAATAGCAATACGAGTTGAATCAGGTGAAAAAACTAATGCTTTCACTTGATAACTCTTCTTTCCATACTAGAAATAATAATATTATCACTAAAGATGATATTATCACTAAAATTTATATGATATTATCACTGAAGTTTATTCCATTCAATCATTTTAGTTACTTATTTAAATTTTTAAATTTAACAATGCTTTCACTTGATAACTCTTCTTTCCATACTAGAAATAATAATATTATCACTGAAGATGATATTATCACTGCAATTTATTCCATTCAATCATTTTAGTTACTTATTTAAATTTTTAAATTTAACAATGCTTTCATTTAATAACTCTTCTTTCCATACTAGAAATAATGATATTATCACTAAAGATGATATTATCACTAAAATTTATTCCATTCAATCATTTTAATTACTTATTTAAATTTTTAAATTTAACAATGCTTTCATTTGATACTAAAGATGGTATTATCACTGCAATTTATTCCATTCAATCATTTTAGTTACTTATTTAAATTTTTAAATTTTATTTTTTATATTTAATAAAAAACTTTTTCTTTTCTTTTTTAATCAATTAAATTGATTAGAAAAATTTTAAAACCTTAGCATCAATAGGTTTAGTAGCAAATTTATCACGTCGTTTTCCAGTTTCATCAAATAATAATATCACACGATCAGCATTAGCTACTGCTAATTTTTTACCATTTGGTGACCAATCCATTGCTGGTATTTTAGCTGCTCCATCCTAAAAAAGAAAAAAAGAAATAAAAATTTTTTTTTTTTTTTTAAAAAAAATATTTTATTAACTTACTTTTCTTGCTTCTTTTTTTTTTCTTGCCATGTTAAGCAGTAATATTTAAATAATGTTATGCTATCAGTAAGTAACATTTAGTAATTAAACTAAATAATATTGATTGAGAATTTACAAAAAAAAAAAAAAATTAAATTAAATTAAATAAAAAACAAAAAGTAAACAAATAAAAAAAAAAGACAGTAACAAGTATGAAAATTCAAAAATATTTGAAAAATTTCTTTTCTTTTAACAAAAAAAAAAAAAAAGACACACACATATGAATTTATTCAAATTAAAGTATAATATATGTTTAATATGTAAAACTTTTTCAGTTAGAAAATTATTATTTCAATATTTTTAATAAATTAATTAAAGGAACTTTTATGATTGTATGGTTATTAATTATATTTTATCAATTAAATTGCTATTTTAGATAAGTTATTTAAAAATTCCATTAAAATATTACAAATTAATTTCTCCTAATTTTTTTTTCTTTTGGAAGAGAAAAAAATTGCCAAAATTTTTTTGATTTATAAAAACTTCAGTATTTTTTTTTCTTTAATATTTAATACAAACGAAATTGTTAAATAAAATAATTTGATGATTTATCTTCTATGAATATTTTAGCATAAAAAATAAAATATAATTGCGTTATTTAATAATATATACTTTATAAATTATATAACTTAGTAATTATCACGTGACACGTAACAATTGAGCAATTTTTTAAATTACTTTTAATATAAATCCAACATTTTTGTTTTTTATTTATTAAACATATTTTTTAATATTTAATACAAATAATTTGTTAAATAGAATTCAAGCATAAAAAATGAAATATAACTGCGTTATTTAATAATATATACTTTATAAATTATATAACTTAGTAATTATCACGTAATACGTAAATTATTCCTCAATTTAAAAGACATATTTTTTAATATTTAATACAAATAATTTGTTAAATAGAATAATATTATGAATATTTCAGCATAAAAAATGAAATATAACTGGGATATTTAATAATATATACTTTATAAATTATATAACTTAATAATTATCACGTAACACGTAAATTATTTCTCAATTTATTAGACATATTTTTTAATATTTAATACAAAAAATTTGTTAAATAGAATATAACTGGGATATTTAATAATATATACTTTATAAATCATATAACTTAATAATTATCACGTAACACGTAAGTAACAACCGAGCAATTTTTTAAATTATTTTTAATAATTTCAACATTATACCTTCATTTATTAAACATGTGTTTTTTTCCCTTTCTTATGCTTCAAATTTGAGTTTTCTCTCATTCCCATTCATCATCTACTGCTTTATTTCTTTCATTTAACAATAATAATAATAATAATAATAATAATAATAATAATAATAATAATAATAATAATAATAATAATAATAATAATAGTAATAATAATAATAATAAAAACAATAATGATAATAATAATTCATCATCTACTGCTTTATTTCTTTCATAATGATAATAATAATTCATCATCTACTGCTTTATTTCTTTCATTTAACAAAATAATAATAATAATAATAATAATAATAATAATAATAATAATAATAATAGTAATAATAATAATAATAAAAACAATAATGATAATAATAATTCATCATCTACTGCTTTATTTCTTTCATAATGATAATAATAATTCATCATCTACTGCTTTATTTCTTTCATTTAACAAAATAATAATAATAATAATAATAATAATAATAATAATAATAATAATAGTAATAATAATAATAATAAAAACAATAATGATAATAATAATTCATCATCTACTGCTTTATTTCTTTCATAATGATAATAATAATTCATCATCTACTGCTTTATTTCTTTCATTTAACAAAATAATAATAATAATAATAATAATAATAATAATAATAATAATAATAGTAATAATAATAATAATAAAAACAATAATGATAATAATAATTCATCATCTACTGCTTTATTTCTTTCATAATGATAATAATAATTCATCATCTACTGCTTTATTTCTTTCATTTAACAAAATAATATTAATAATAATAATAATATTAATAACAATAATAATAATAATAATAACAATAGTAATAATAATAATAAAAACAATAATGATAATAATAATTAGAGAGAATTTAACTTTAGATAAGAATAAAATGTAAAGAATAATTTATATACATATACATATATACCTGTTGTTCCACTATTGTAGTCAAATATTTCAAACGCATCTTAACCGAGTAAATTAAATTATCTGATCGATTGATTACATATGATTCGAATTTTTTAGCAAAGTAGAGGAATAAAATTTAAAGCATATCAATAGTAAAAAGCTAAATGTGATTCATATCCTTTCATTCTCGTTGGCATGGTTACCTTTAGCTATCGATGTCTGTCATACGATGTCACCTTTTTGATATTAATGTCAATATATTAATGCATATTCAATCAATTTATTTCAATTATAAAGAAAGCACAATATGTTATTTCTAATATAGCAAATAACTTTAAAAAAATAAAGAATGAAAAGCTATTTTCTTTTCTTTTTTTTTTATTTTGCTAATTTGAAGGTAAAATCCCTGTTAAGGATTGTTTCCAAAATAGAATTCTGAATGGGAAGCTCTGTTTTATGAAATGATCTTTTTTTTGCAAAAAAAAAAAGATCATTCTCTGATATCACAAATAATATTTAAATGAAACATTTATAAATACTTTTTTTTTTTTTTTTTTTATCAAACAAACAAATAAAGCTGCAATATACACCCTTTCACAAAAAGCTTCTAGAAATTAATTACATTATGAATAAAAGTATTCTTCAAATTAAAAATTAAACAAATGAGACCAAAAATGCATACAGTAAAAAAAAAAATATCATAGTTTATGAATGAAAATTAATCTCTGGATTTTATTTTTACTTTTCTTATTTTTATTTTTTTTTCTTTTTTTTTTTTAAGTCAGTGAAACGTACTCGGTTGAGTTAATTTTAATAGTGATAGTCCAAAGATTGGCAAAATATTAATACGTAGCAAAAAAATTTAGCATTATACAGCTTATATTTTATGATCTACAAAATTTAATAACACTTATTATTATCTCTTAACTACAACACCATGTAATTTTTGAATTCAGCATAAATTCTACACTACAAATATGCTCGAGAATAAGGAATAATATGCTCAAGACGAGTGAAATTTCACTTAACACATATATTATGACTTATTGACCAGGATAAGAGTAAAATGATAACACTCGCGCAGTAGTAGTAATTACCATATCGATTGATGCTCAAAATCACGACATATTTTTCTTCCTTGAGCCGTTTCCGGATCCACAACGGTCCGTCTTCCTATCATAGCATTATCACGGATTAGATTATCAACTTGTCCACGATAACGAATGTTAGATGTTCCGTAAGACTGCTGCTGTTGCTGCTGCTGCAAAAAAAAGAAAATTCATGTAATTCTTAATTCATATAAATTAATCTTCGAAAAATATATTCAAGAATTTATTTCCCAAAAATAATTATATTACATATTTGAAAATTTACTGTTAATTGATAAATATAATAAAAATTTCTCAATTTTACGATAGCACTAACAAAGAATAGTGAAAAATTATCTCACAAACCTGTTTATTTGCATTTTCAATTTCTGCTTTTGCTGATTTTGCACATAATTTATTGGTGGATGTCGAGGAATTGCATAATTTGATATTATCAAAAAATGGTGGATAAACAACAAAATTGGTAACTTGCCATATTGGTTCATTTAAATGATAATGCTTATTCATAAATTGTAACAATGATTGAGATGGCTTATCAATTGCAACATTTTCTGCCGATGAATTTTCCTGCTATAAAACAGAAAAATAAAAAATAAAAAGAAATACATTCAACATAAAAAATAAATATTGCTAACAAATTATATGAAGCTTACTTCATATAAAATTGATAGATATAGCTACTAAGATTTGATATTGATAGAGAAAAGATGAATGAATTTATAATGCTAATAAAATATTAATCTTACTTTTAACATATAATCAAATAGAGCATGTCCATATCCTTGTCGTTGAAGAGTATCATGAACATAAAAATCAAGCACACATAATGGTGATACTTGAAAAGTTTGCATAGATTCATCCGTTAGGTACAAATTTTTATAGCCAATTTTTAACAAACCTATTATTACACTTGCATTCCTGCAAATAAAAAATAAATAAATGAATAAATAAATGAACAGTAATATAATAGATGAAAGTATAACAATTCATAATTGTAAACTTTTTTTTTCTTTTATTTTGTTAAAATTTTTTGCAAAAAAAAATCGTTCAATGAATTTATTAATTTTAATTAAAACTTAAATGATAAGTGATAAAAAAAAACAATAATTACAAATGTGATAATCATTTCTTTTGCGTGTAATTACTCCATATAGATATAATATACAAAAAAAAAAAAGTTTTAAGTAAAATATATAAAGAAAACACTTACTTATTATTTGGATTTTTTCTCCACAACAAATAAAGCACTTGACCATCGTCTGAATTGATTATCTTATCATAGGTGGTAAGAACACGTTTTAATCCTTGTGCCTAAAAGATATCATGAATAAATCAGATAACTATTTAGCAATAATTAAAATTGATTATAAAATTTTTAAAAAAATATGCATGATACTTTATTACTGCTAGTAATTCTTATCACTTCTTTGATAAAAAAAAAATATATATATATATATATGCATACTTTTCATTACACTTATATAATTATCAAAGTTTAGTATAACCATAATAATAATAATAATAAAAGTAATAGTAGTAATAATAATAACAATAATGATAATAATAGCAGTAATGAAGATAATAATAACAATAATAATAATTAATAATAATAATAATGATGGTAACAATAATAGTAATAAAAATAATAATATAATAATAAATAATGATAATAATTAATAATAATTAACGATAATTAAAAATAATAATAATAATAATAATTAACAATAATTAATAATAATAATAATAATAATAATCAAAAACAATAAAAAAAAATCATACAGCTATAGAAAGTGCTCCCATATTATTGATTGTTTTTTCAACAATCCAACATTTTCGTGGATTAAGTTGTCTGAGCATCACATCATTTAACCTTTGTATTGGCATATCAGGAAAATAAACACTCAAATCAGCTGGTACATTCATTATCTGATAATAAATTAATCATTTTTTAAACTATATTATATCAATTAATAAACAAATAATATTCGCTAAAAAAAAACACACACACACAACAACACACGCAAAACATTCTAAACTACATCACAATTAGTTAAAACATTGAGATATATGTATAGAAAAGAAGAAAAAAAAAAGGAAATAATATTGATTAGAAGATAAATAATTACTTCTGCCAGTTTGATAAAAAAAATATTTTAAAATGATATTATCACTAAATAACTAGATATATTAGAGATAACTAGATATGTTATAGAAAACTTTGCTAATCAAAAAAATATTGCTAATAAAGTAATACATAAATAAATACAATCAAATTGTAGAAAAAATAGCAATAATATAATAACAATAATTTTTGAATTATTTGTAAATTTATTATTTGAAATGTTAGTAAAATGTTGTAAACAATAGTAAGATTATCTTAATATTCATATTTTCAAAATATGAATATTTATCATAATTAATATCAACATTATACTTCCCAGAAGTTTAAATTTTCTACGTTCAAAAGTCAACGTAAAAAGTATACAAACTTAGATGTAATAAAAAAAAAAAAAAAACTTAAACTTTGGATTTAAATATATAAAGTTTTTTACGCTAATTATTAAATATAATTAAATAAACTAAACCAATACTAACTAATATCAATTTTCAATCAATACAAAGTCTGAAAGAAAACATTAAAACAAAAAAAAAATCAATCAATCAAAATAAAACAATCAAAAAATTTCATTTCCCTGAAAAAAATATCGAGAATTACTAAAAGGAAAACAAAAACAAAAAAAAAAAAAAAAAACAAAAACAAAAAGGGAAGGAAAGAAGAGAAAATGTTACAATGCATAAAGGTTATTATTTAAAATTATCAAATAACAATTTGTAAAACTACAAACAGTAAATAAAAATATGATTGCTTATAGTTACAAATACAAATAATTATTTTCCAGCTTTTGTACTATCATTAATTTTCTCATATGAAAACAGGGAGAGAGAGAGAGAGAGAGAGAGAGAGAGAGAGAGAGAGAAATCCCTTCCAAGTATGAATTAAAGCATTAATGCATAATAATTTTCAATCTTATCTTATTACTTAGCATATATAAACTTATTTATTCACTTATTTTAATTCAATTAATTTAGTAAAATGACTAACACATTTACAAATTTTAGAAATATGAGAAAATATTATAATGTTCAGTTTAATTTGCATTTTCTCAATGAATGAATTCTTTCCAATAAGTTTTTCAAAAAAAAAAAAAAAAAAAAAGCAAAACATAACCATATAGAATCAATAAATAATTTCAACAAGTAAAACAAATAAAGCTAAAAAGGTTTTTTTTTTTTTTTCCAAAATAAAATAGAATATATAAAGTCATATAGCTTCTTCTTTGAAAAATAGCACATACATCTAAAATTGATTTTAGCATTCATTGAAAAATGTTTATAACCAACCAACCAACCAAAAAAAAAAAAAAGAGAAAGAAAGAAAAGCTAAAATAGAAAAATGTAACGGACATTTTCGCCTTTTTTTTTTTTTTCTTTTTAGGAACAGTGATAAATTTTTAAAAAGGCATTAAATATTGATATGAAATTTATGTTACTGAAAGCATTTATCGTAGTAATGTTAAACTATTTAGTAGTGGTTAATAAATTTTAACAAATAATCTTATTGATCTAAACAATATCACTCAAATCAATCAATGTATTACGTATACTTTCTGGTATTTTTATACTTATTCCCATATAAGGAATTATATATTATAATTTAGTATTCAGAGAAAAACATTTAAATTTATATTATAGATCTATTTGATGGTTAAAAAAAAAACAAACAAACAAACAAACAATTTTTTTTTTAAATAATAAACAGAATTGAGCAGTAGGATTAAGTTTGGGAACAAAATTGACATTCATCGAAACATTTATGCATGAAAAAAACTAACACAACAATTCATATTTTATATTCTTTACGAAATTCTATTTCCTAACAATATCACTCAAGATCAGTTTGCATACGCTAGTATTTTCATACTTATTTCCATCAGATTCAAGGAATAACTTTTTAGCTAAAAATCTGGAACGGATTGAAACGTAATGATACTTCATGTATGCAAAATTTCATAAATAATATTTATTATTCAACAGTGTTATCTAGTAATATTCAATTTAAAGCTTGAAAAGGTAGTATTGTCGAGATAAAGCGAATGCAAGCAGTATGAAATACATAACAAATACCACGGAACAAATATAGTGCAAAGCAGAAGCTAACGTTACTTTTCAATCTAATTTTATAAATATGCATCATCTGATGAAAATAGTATTTTTTTAAAGGATAGCACGTCTATGCAAGCACAGATATTAACTAACAAAAATATATTTTATGATTGTAGTCTCTTGTGACAACTTTGCTGAAGTAAAGTTGCTCCTGCTCTCGAATCAACTGCTTCACGCATTCGTTCAAACCATGCTTTAATTTGAGTTTTATCACAAAGTTCATTAAATGTTGCACTACCCAGAAATGAATTCATTGCTCCATAGAGTGCCTGAAAATCAAGAAATTATTTGGAAAAGACTTTTTTTTTTCAGTTTTTTTTTTGTAGTAAAAATGCAAATAAAAAGAATGAAAGATTTAAAGTTACCTTAAAGTAGCATTCATGATTTTTTTTTTTTCATTTTAGATGTTCAGACAAAAAAAAAAGAAGGAAGAAACTATTAGAAAATTTATATTAACAGCTATTATTTTCTTTCACTTCTACTTTACTAATCTTGGTAGATCATATTTTTTACTAATATGTTAGGATAATATTTTTCCGTCTAAACTGAGTATGTAAGCATAACCTTTCGATACATGAATAAGACACATTTAAAGGGGAATCGCTTATTTAGGCATGAAATATAAAATTTAGATATGAAATATGAAATATTTGAAAGTGTTTAAAAGTAGAGTAAGAAAAATATAGAGCAAGATAGACCAAATCAGCCAAAGTAGGCTGTTGACCACCAAGAAACGATGAATTTCCCACAGCATTCATCCACTGATTGCAAGCATCTATTAAAAGTTGACGAACATCAGCATCATCATATCTAAAAATATCTTTCTAATTATAATTACAGTTAAATTATGTTAAACAGTAATTACTACAATTAAAAGAATAAATTATTGTCATTTTCTTTCCATCGTCTTTTTTTTCTTTCTTTTTTGAGAAAACAAAAAAGAAAAAACAATCTAACTTACTTTTTGCGAAGTTTTTTCGACAAAAAATACATGGCTACTGAACCAAGATAAATGGTAGCATAACGTTCCCATGCAGGTACCACTTTATCCCACTGTCCTGCTTCACCAAACCAACGAAATGTTTCAATACATTCATTCCATGAACGATACACATTCGGTACTATCAAAGGAATGAAATGATCATCAACCCATTTACGCCATTCCTCTTCTTTCCTTCACAAAAGTTTAAATTAAAAAATTGAAAAAATATAACACCGGAATAATCTTACTTGCAAGTAACCAGAAAAAAAAAAAAAAAACAAACAAACACAAAGCTTCTTATCGATTGCCTTCCATTTGCACAACTAATCTACAAAAATGTTCATGAATGTAAAAATAACCTCGCATTTTCCTGTTCCATTTTTGACATACTATTCAAAGATGTCATAATTTTATACATATTGGGACGTGTGACTATCTCTTTTCCCGTTTCTTTTATAACATTCGTTTGTTCTGGATAAAATTCAATTACATCATCCAAACTTCGATCACTTCGTGTCATATAACTTGTCAAAATTGATATTATCAGCGAAGAATCACTCAATTTTCGATCCATTTGAGCAATTACAGTTGGTAGCTAAAGAAAAAGATGAAACAAAAAAAAAAATCTCATTTATACTAATTATTTCATTATTAATGAGTAATACAGGAAAAGAAATATAATCAGCATTACATTATACTTTTTAAAAGTACAAACCTTGCTAACACCATCCAACTTTTTGATTTCTTTTCGAGTTAATGGACTAACTTCAACCACATCATACGAAAAACCATAATAATTCAAGAAAGCACGAACTTTGCAACAAAATGGACATGCTTCATATTGATAAAGTCTTAACTTCAAATCCGTATGATCATAATCACTCACAATCTACAATAAAAACATTTACAATAATAGTTATTTGTTGAATTTTAATTACAAAAATAAACTTTTTTATTCAATTAATAATCCATATTTAACTTTTTTTTTTTTTCACCATTATTGTTACTATTTTCTAACCCGTTTAGCAATTAATGCTCCATCAGTAGGATGCTTTAAAGGTCCTTCCACTTGCCACTTGCTCATATTTGAATGTTTCAATGATTTGATTATACCAGTATTTTCATCATAACCAACAAATCCTGCTAATGCAGCAGCAGCAGCAGCAGCAGTTGTTAACACTCCACCACCACTACCATATCGTATTAATTTCCTGATTACATTCCGATTCCACATAATTATAGCTATAAATAAACAAAAAGTTTTATAAATTAATGTGCAATAAGCAAGATACAAGACTCATTTGAAGATTAATTTCAAATCTTTGCTGCCATTCATTATTCCCACATTTTAGTTTAATTCCCCAAATTATCCCATTTTTTGCTATATTTCCTTGCCTCTTATACTGTCCCTTTTTTCTTACATTAATTCATTTCAGCATTACATACATAGCTGAACATCATCATCCTGTTAGCAATTATTCAATTTGTTCATTTCATTCTTCCCAAAACTAATTTATATTATTATTATTTCCACTTCCTACAAAGCCAAAAAAAAAAAAGAAGAGTAACGAGAAACTAACATAAACTTAACGACAAATAATATCATATATTCGATACCGCTATGAAAAATCTTTATAAATCATGTCTGCCTATCTAATAATTACAATATAAAACTCAATAAAAATTTATTATTATTATTATTATATAGAATTGTGCT